CCCCCCGGTATTTATTTATGCCACTGGACAGTTCTAGTCACATTAAAGCTGCGGTTCACCTTTTCGAGGACTTTCATCTCGGGCAGTTTTATGACACTTTGTGAATGTGCAAAGTTTTTAATTAGGCTCGCTAGACAGCCCGAGGCAGCGGCAGCGCCACCGAGTCTTCACGCTCTCTCTGCTTTACAGCACAACAAGCCGCTCTACTCCTTTGAAGACAATGCAGACTATGTGTACGATGTCATGTGGTCCCCCGTGCATCCCGCGCTCTTTGCCTGCGTGGACGGGATGGGGCGCCTGGACCTCTGGAACCTCAACAATGACACCGAGGTGAGCGGCGGCGCAGGCGCCCGGGCGGGAGGGCTGGGAGGAGGGCGCCGCTGGCCTCTCTCCGTCTCCCCCTCTCTCTCCGTGCGGCACGGCCTTTTTTGGACTGACCCTCCAATTGCAGCTGGGCTGCCGACCCCCACTCTCGACTGGTCTGAAGGGAATTGGCAGATGCACCGGCCCCCAATCATTTCATCTCCCTTCATCCGCAACCGTGGCAGATCCTGGACGATTAATTGACGACCCTTCTTTGCAAAGAGCAAAATGATGTGTGTTCCTGCCTTTCCCTATGCGAAGGGACACACAGGCATATTTCAGAGCGGTGTTGAAATAACTATTGGCAAGCACTTGGAAAAGTCAGCTTTTGTGGACGCTGACTTGAGACTGAGTTTTTAAAAAGGGTTATTTGTCAGTGTTTGCTATTCGCACACTTTTAAATCCATAAGAGAAAATTCTGTTGACTGTTTATGTTTAGATCGATCTTCCATTTGATTTTTACAAGGTTAATAATCCTTGTCTAAAATATTGAACTTACAGGCAGACTTTCACAGTAGTTTGTAACTCTGAACATGTCCGTTAAACTTAGTGTTTAAAAAAAAAAAGTGGGATTTCAACATGTCACATTTAGAGTACTTCCCAAGTGAGAAGTGGCCCATTTTTTTTCAAAAGGGAATTAACGGTAAGGAGATTTTCGTTTTAAAAATTATGCTATATATATTTATGTTTTAAAAAATCATGCCATGTGCATTTTCCCCTTTTCCCACACCCTTAAAATTACTGAGGTGCTAATTAAGCTACTTGGGGTTTTTTTGTGGTGTCTTTTTTTTTTTTTAACATGAATATTAAATGTCCTTCAATTTACTAAAATAAAATGGTCTCTTCATCACTTCCTGGCTTCTGATTCAGGGCAGCTCTCCATAAATAAGAAGGGACAGGTAAGGGAGTAAGTACAGCAAACTACATGTCAAGTGGAGAACAAGAGAAAGGTCTTTTGAAGTGTTTTGAGCAGGAAGCAGCTCAGCCTTTTTAATTAGGAAGCCTACAGCTGGAGGATATGAGGAGGAGGCTCCCTTAGTATTTTTTGTGGGAGCGGACAGGGAAATATCCCTCAGGTGTTACTATCGAGCCGTTGTATCTCGCAAAATTACATACACCTTTGGCCACTGCCAAATGGTTATCTTTTGAAAATACTTCAATTTAAGTCTGTGTTTTCTTTTGGCTACAAGAACTATGTGACAAAGGCAAGAGTTACATAATGAAGCATCTTTGAAAATGATCAAAAGTCATGAATACATGCGATGCCCATCATTTGGATGTTGGAATGTTCATAACATTGCTTTTCATAGAAAGATGCATTATTATTCGACATTGTGATGGTTTCCCAAAGTCTTTCATCACTGTTGATTAAAAGCATATTGTTTCTACCTGCTGGAATAAACTCATTCACTTAAAGCAACCAAAAAACACACGTTTTCCAGGTTGGCTTAGGAGGCCCCCCTCCCCCCATATCAGAAATCAGATCTAGTAGAAGTGATGTTTAGGTGATACCCCACTATGTTGCAGCGGGGTGAGTGTTCTACATGCTCCTTAATACTTCCTATGTAACTGGTTTTGTTTTGTTTTTAGTCTGCTTTTTAGGTAAAATGAAATCAATGTGTCAACACTGCCAAATGTAATTTTTCCCTTCTCTTTCTCTAGGTATCAAGGCACAACCACATTAAGAGTTTTATAGCTAAACATTTTTTTAAAATCATTACGGGGCATGCAAATTGCTTAGTTTTGTGGTAAACATAATTCTGCTTTCAGAATAACAGTAGATATATCGAATCTGATTCACATCCAGTAATGAACTGAACCCTTTTTTAACCTCTCAGATCATTTTTGCCTTCGATCAAATTGAACAAGATTTTTCAAACACTTGTCAGATTAGGATTTAGATTTGTGTAAAAAAGAAAGAGAAAGAACCTGAATTCCCAGTGTGATTCGTTGCTGTTGTTGAAATGACCGTATCTTTAGACCAAGTTATCCCAGTTGCTCCTATGCAAAGATAGTTCATATTCATCTACCTCAATATTACTGACCTCCACACTATGTAGTAATTTATGCTGTATATATCCTTGTTTTTGCAATTAGAATGATTGAGCCTTAAAAAAATATGAAAATAACTGTGAAACCAAAGTACAGAAGTTAGAGAGACTCAATATATGCATTATTTTCACTAAAGATTCATCAACTTTTGAAAGGTCATTATCGATCAAACTAATAAAATATATTTTATCATTTCCTTTGGCATTTGACAATTTTCTAGCACATATTATAGGTTGTGATAGTCATTTTTTTTTACCATTTATAATATTTGAAAAGGTATTTTTAAATGGTTAAAATATTAATTGTCCCAGTTTGCTATACTACTTCTCAATAAATAAGATTCTTTAAAATGTGTTAGGCATAATTTAAAATGTATCAGAAATCAGTTTGAGTGATTAGCTTTTTAATATACTCATATTAAGAGTCAACATTTTTATTCAATCTTTGAGATTATTCATTGATAAAATCTGATACCGAACAGAGTTAGGTAAAGTATGATCCTGCACAATCTCCCTAAATTATGGTGTTAAAAACTAAGTCTGAAAACTGTGTAGCTGAATCTCTGATTTGTTTTCTGAGTAGCACACTAATAATAAAGCATATTGACAGAATTATGGCCCATCTAAAATCACATTGTTTTGGCCTTTGAAAGGTTTGGTTAAAAATTCAAGCTCCAGCCTGCACAGCAGGTACCTTTATTGTCGAAATTGTGTATTTTTTTAAAAAAGATAAATGAGTTGGGGACTTTTGTTTTACATTTTTGCTCACAGCTGATATACAGTGATTTAAGCCAGTAAAAGAATTTTTATTGATTAAGTTTAAACATAGATTCTTACATATGATGGAGTTTTTATTGCTATTTTAAAGATAGATATTGGGTCAATAATCTCCCATAAACAGATGGTTTCAGTTCCCTGACTCGCAGAATGCCGGGAGAGCTAAGGCACATCCATGTCAGGTTCCCATCCTGAAACGACCTGTCTAGTAGACCCAGGTCTTCAACAGTGGCGTGAGATGGTCTCTAGGACCCGCTTCTCACTGTATTTTTTTTTTCTTTTTGTTTCAAGATTTACTCTTCCTTTTTTAATGGTCTCTTGTCATTTCCTAGTCAGCATTCTTGTAGAAGGCTCAGAGATCTGATCTTCCCATCAGTTATAAACCTCCAAACCTAAAGACCAGAGTTTACACCACTGTGGATAGAAGAGGGGGAGACCCACAAACATCTTTTCCCAACACGAGGGTTCTTGTAACAAATTCTGCAGGTTCCATTTCAGCACCTCTGGGTCATTTTAATAGTAAGTATGATAGTGATTCCCCACATTGGCAGATTGCAGTGTTGACTGAAGGAGACGGGAGGAGACTTCTTCTACAAACAGGTGTTGCAGTCCCTCAGGACATCACCTTAGGGGCATTTCCAAAGTTAGAGAGTGCTTCACCCACCCTGCTACTGACAGGAAGGGGGAAAACAGGAAGAAAAAAAAAAAGAAGAAAGAGAATTCGAGCTTTTGAAGTTTTGCCACCTGCATTTTTTCTTCTTCTGATCATCCCCTCCCCGATGAGGTTTTCAGGGATCAATACATATTTTTTCCCTGAAGACACATACTAATATGACCTTTATTCCAACATAAACCCCCCCCTTCCTGCCTTTTATAGTATCTTTAATTTTGGTAAATCCTGAAATCTCTCTCTCCATCGATCCATAAATCATGACCCGATCAAGAAGTATCACATTCAGGTGCTGTGTTTGTATGTTGGATGGACACCCTGCATAATCCGGAGAAGTATTTGTCACTCACTGCCCATTGACTGTGGAAAAAGACTCTCCTGCTTTTCTTTTTTTGTTAAAGTGTCTCCTCTCTACCCCTTAATTCAGTGGAGCATATGATTTAAGAACAACGAATCCTTTTACCCCTGCACAAGGGATGGATATTACTTCATGCACGTGAAGGCAGCGGTGACTCACCAGTTAAACGTATCGTTGTGAATTTGTTTATCTAAATTCATATTCAGAGATTCTTTGTTGCTGTTGTAACTCCTTTGACAGGTTCCAACAGCAAGTGTGGCCATTGAGGGGGCTTCTGCCCTAAACCGTGTGCGTTGGGCTCAAGCTGGCAAAGAAGTTGCCGTTGGAGACTCAGAAGGCCGGATTTGGATCTACGACGTTGGAGAGGTACCTGTATTTTTTGGTTTGTGGCTTTGGGTGTTTTTGGTTGTGTGTGTGTGTTTTTGTTTTTTGGGTTTTTCTTTTCTTTCTTTCTTTCTTTTTTTTTTTTTACTTGTATGTCTAGTTTAAAGACCTAGTGAAATTATCGACAAGACCTGTGGGCCACAAGAGCCCGCTTGAGTGCATTTGCAAATTGCCATTGACTTCAGTGCGAGTTTGCTAAGACCTCCTTAGGGCCTAATTTGGTCTTCTGTCTCCACACACAGGACACTTTAGTTAATGATCCAGGCTCTTTCAGAGTGCTGTTGAATTCCCAGCTATCCTGTGAGGAAGCATGGCACTTCCTACCAATTTTATGAGAATGAAATGAGTTTGTCACATTCATTATGCTAGCACTGGAGTGGGAACTTGTTGAACAAACAAAGTCAGGTTTTCATTATGTTCGGTTAAAATGTATACTATTACTCTTCAGTTAAAATGTAGCCAATTAAAGAGGCTGAGGTTGTGCTCCCTTCAGCAGCTCATATACTAAAGTGGCTGAGGAGAATCAGAAATTGGTACCATTTTCATGAAATCTGAAGTTATTATATGGAATATATAGCTCCAGTATATCTTATTACATGATAAATGAAGTATTCCTAAATATCATGGCACATATGAAAGGGGAAAAATCTGTACTTTTCATTTCAGATAAATCTCTTTAAATTTTTATACTATTTTTAATATTACATTACCAATCAATTGTACTTAAACGTATCTGTTTATTTTTACTAAATCGGAAAGTGTTGACAAAAACCTTCATCTGCAATGAGGTTAAAGAATTTTTTCCTTAAAGACAAAATATTGAACTTTCAAGCAAAACAAAACAAGAGCGCTGTGTAAGGCTATTCTGGTGTAATATGAATCTAGAATTTGCATTCCAGGGAGGAAATATACCATATTTGTATGTAGAACACCCTGGACGTAGGCAGTACTCTGTGCCTGCCTGGTGGAGGGACTTAGCTGATCTCACCGAGAAGGGTTCTGTATGGTTTCCTCGGTTGGCATTCTGTAAATTTGGCTGTCCCAGATGGTTTGTTCTACACCGGAACCTTTGATGATACATTATATACTTCTGTATGTTGGAGTCGATTATGTTGAAACAAACTAGGTGGTGGTGTTGTTGTTGTTGCTCTTAATTCAGCCAGAAAGAGAAACTGAAGGACTTTATAGATGGGAGGTTTCTATTTGGGGATGTACAACCCTAAGAAAAATACAGGAAAATCTCTGTTTTCCTGCATGTTATCGAGTTCATTAGACACCCCCTTAACTACTCCTGATGCCACAAACTGAGTCATCCCGACAGCAACAAAGACTCGGTTAATATTCATCCCCAATGGTGAAGATGCAAATGGTCTGGTGACTACTGACGTAGTTTGGAGTCTTTGGAAAGCAGAATACCCTCTGAATCAAAAATATTGCCTATGGTTTTACAGCAATATTTTCTTCAAAGATTATTCTTTATAGTCAATGCATCTTTTTCATTGTCTCCATCAAGATAAACCTAAGCAACAATAAAAACAAATACTCCTCATTAAGTTCATTTACTAAAAAATTAAAAAGCTAGTGAAGAGGAATTTAAAAAAAAAAAAACAAGGTTTCTTTTTTTCTTTCTCTCTTTTGTTTATAACAAGTGTAATTGTGGGAGAGAAATAGATGTTGGAGACATGCTCAGAGATGAAATGGCAGAAAAATAGATGAAATTTAAACTTTTCTCCACCTCCCTTTCTTATTATACATAATGTCCCTTAACTCTCTTAAGATCATATGCAGCATTATCTGTTTTGTCCAAGAGGGATGAAAAGTAGAATACTTTAACAATCTGGTTTATTTCAAGAAAGGCCTTTTGAAAGCCTGTATGTTGATCACAGGTATTATATATATATAAAACACCCTGGATGTAGACAGTACTCTGTGCTCTGTTACATATAGATAACAAATATATATATATATTATACCATATGAGAAAACAGGATATGATGTATATACAGAATTTTCTGTAACAAAGTGATTTTATAGCCTGTGGCAGGATTACTTGAATATGACTCATATTTTAGGAGGATACATGATTTTGCAGAAGTTGCCTTGGCTGATACATGGCTGCTACAACTTCTCTCTAGGTTGCTATCATCATTCCTAAATTGTGAAGTGTTGTTATGCTCATATTTCTACTATTGTAGTGGCAGGTCAGCCTGGTTTTCATTTTTGTATTATTGCTCTTACTTTTCTAAGTGATATGACAGACTATAGAAATGTCTGTAGCTATAGGCCAGTCTTGTCTATTGTCTGGAGTCGAGACAGGCTATAGAAAAATCTCTGTGCCACATAATAGGCCAAACAATTTGTAGGGTTGTTTATCCCTACAAATTCACTACCCGGCCAAAAAAGGATATACTATTTTATTGAGAGTAGGTAATATTATATAATCTTCTAGCCCTTCCCTGAATGGCCGAAAAATCAGGACAGGCTTATACATTTAACAGTTCTTTCTGTATGGTTTCGTCATAAACAAAGCCATCTATAGCTCAGAAAAACTCAGACTTAACAAGATAATTTTGTCTTAACTGTAGTTTTGTTTTGTTTTGTTTTGTTTTTTCCCCTAAGTACTTTTGTAAGGTATTTACAAATTTAGTTCATATTTATTTCTGGGGAAAGGTAAAGGGGAGAGGCTCTTTCCTTTTTGCTCATCTATATAACCTATCCTAAATCTCTCATGGCGAACTCTGTATAGAGTCTCCATGTACATAAAGGGAAGCGGAGCTTAGCTGAAGCCCACTTCTGAGAGATGGTAGCTCACTTCATGGGCAAGTGCCGCCATTATTGTAATAACTGCTGTCTCGTTCACCAGCCTAGGACTGACAGAGCATAGCTGTACTTGGAGGAGAAGGGTGCCCTCTAAACAGTGGCTCCTCAGCCTTCCAAATCACCTGAACTGCAGAAAGCCAGACAGAGTGCCTTCACAGCAAGCTGGCCCCATTTAGAATTTGAGATCAAATCTAAGACTGGTGCATGGCTGACGAGAGGGAAGGGGTTTGAGCAGGAAGTGATTTAAAAAGGAGAAAATATAGAAGAAGAGAAAAAAGATGGCCTTGAGGATCAAATTGCCAGGAAACTATGCTCCTGTTATCTGTATTCAGAATTGGTCCTCTGGTCCCCATTAAAACTGAACCCCTCACCAGGGTCATGCTGGCCTTTGGATGGAAAATCTTGCTTTATGGAACCCTCTAGGAAAGAAGATGAAACAGTTTTAAACAAGCCTAATACCACAATCTGTACAAGAAAGTAAATGGCAGTTTTTAGAGTATACTTTGTTGATCCATTTTCTTTGAGACTGCAGTACACTCAAGAGGTGTCTGTCTGTGGGAAGAGACCTCACATTCATTTGTCCCTGGTTGATTTGAGGATCGAGGAGGGGGCGGCAGGTTCTCTCTCAGCAGGGTCCTATTCCCGGAGCGAGGCTGGCTTCATGCTTCTGTCAGCTGGGCCATCCCACAGGCCCGGGGCATAGAAGATCCCTGAGCTTCCTTTATTGCTTGGCTGTCACTGTCTTGCAACTGGTAAGAACTTTTTCAACAAGGCACCACTGTCTATTTTAATAACTTTTAAGATACACAAACAGAATAAAAATTCTCATTTTGCTCCTTGCGAGACAAGTAGCCAGTCTCGCCACAAGAGTATTGCTCTCAATCCCACTCATGATGCAGATCAGAAATGAGAAATGATGGCCGTGACCTAGACCATTAGGAAAAAGGAGAGATCTTTAGAAATGTGGTCCTATGTAGCACATGCTGTGTGACCTTCTTCTTATCTTTGTCTTGAGACTATCTAAAAATGTTGAAAGTGTGGGGCGCCTAGGTGGCTCCGTTGGTTAAGCACCAGACTCTTGATTTTAGCTCAGGTCATGAACTCAGGGTCATGAGGTCGAGCCCCATGTCTGGCTCCATGCTTAAGATTCTCTCTCTCCCCCTCTCCCTCTGCCCTTCCCCACCTCCCTCTCTAAAAGAAAGGAAGGAAGGGAGGGAGGGGAGGGGAAAAGAAGGAAGTATAGCCAAAAAAAAAGGTTGAATCGGAAGAGCAGTGGCTGTAGATTATAAACACCATGAGGCCCATAGAAATAGAGCTGAAACCATACTGGATATTCTCATTCACCTCCCCACACCCTTGTTTTGATCATATCGTAAGTTTAACCGAAGGTATCGTAGAGTTTTGGGAAAGATCTCTATGATGCCTGCTACAGTTGGAGTGGAGAGGGATAGCCTTTCTCTGTCACTCAGTTGCCACAGCATCATCACAGTGCCCCCATGATCATGCCCTCCTCTATTATGTACATTTATCCGCCATGACTTTTAAGATGATGGCAGAGAGCAGTGGCCTGAATCCAGATTTACTGATGCACTTTATTCTGAACTTCTGAAGGGGTAAACAGAGGGTTGTGTATGAGCTCACTGAAATCACCAGATTGAGTATGTCCATCCCCCACCCCCAACCCCTTTTTTCCTTTTTGTGCACTTAAATGGCAAAGGCATGAGTCATATCTTGGGGCCTATGACTAATGAGGTAAAATATAAAACAGCAGTGTTTCCAGGTAGGCCACATGATGCTTTGTTTATATAGCACACATTTTTGGTTGCTTGATTTCAGCATTGTATCTGGAAAACATACCGTACACATTTATTTTCACAGATAGGGGTCTATTTTCTTTGTGAAGCAGGTGCTTAACTTCCATTAGCATAAATGGAAGTTATGTGAATTCAATGAAAGACAGAGAAGACTCCTTTTATTATTTGGCTATAATTTTTATTCTGTTTGTGTATCTTAAAAGTTATTAAAATAGACAGTGGTTGCACGAACCATTTAAATTTTCTAAGATGTGAAGTTTAAGATGAAGCTAACTCTTGAATAAGTTTTGAGGATCTTGCTCTTCACACTGTGGGATGCAGTCTGTTTGCTGTGGAGCCGTACGATCC